TGTAGAAACATCTCAAGGATGGTCAATGGAAACAGGATGCACCTGAGCTCAATTTCGAGTCTCATAACAAAGGGTCTGAATATTTATGTAAATAAGGTATTTCTGTTTTATATTTAAGAAATTTGTAAAAACCTGTTTTTGCTTTGTCATTATGGGGTATTGTGTGTGGATTGATGAGGAGAAATCAATTTTAGAATCAGGCTGTAACTTATCAAAATGTGGAAAAAGTCAAGGGGTCTGAATACTTTCCGAATGCACTGTGTATCCTAACAACACTTTGTCGGGCAAAGACTCAACATCAAAACTCAAAAGAACAGACTACGACTCCACTTACGCCACCCTGTCTGCATCTCACCAAACGACGAGCATCACAAACACCAGGAACCTTCCCCTTCAGTTGGTCAACTTTCACATTTACCGCTACCCCAGTAATCACTCCTTTCAATGGCGCTCTTTTCTTGAGATCAAAACAATTCATATCTCTTGTCCCCATTCGTTTAACGTGGAGCACCTGCTCCCTCTGAACAGCAGAACCACAAACAATTATTACAAGACCACTTCTGGTTACCTTCACCAGAGCACCCAACTCTGTTTTCACCCACCCTGAAACCACAAATGGATCACCCAAAAGGTTGGTCCACTTTTCTCAAAAACGTAATTCCTTCACTTCACTCCGCAGACTCCTCTTTATCCTGACCCTTGGTGCAAGCCTCGGGCTCCGAGAACTTCACCACACCTACCACCTCCGATACTTCTCCCTTATTCACTTCCATTTCTCCTCCTGTCTTCGATCCGGCGTACAGCTCACTCTGCTTACACTTTCTACCATTCTTCTTTAACAAATGTTTTACAGACTCAAGCTCACCCTCTTCCTCCCTCTTTCTCTTAGACCTCCTCTGCCTCCGTTTTCCCCTCCATTCCGCCTCACATTTTGTTCTTGTCCTCTCAAGGGACGCCATTTAACCGTCTGTCACAATCTCCGTACAATCAGAATGAAACCCTCGGGATGTAGCGCTCAACAGTGCATCCCACTTGTAAAGCAGCTGCTTCGTCTTCATGTTCTTCTTTATCAATAGCTACCGCTGCGCTTTTCCATTTCAAACGAGCGCGCTCTTCCAACCACCATCCACCGTCTCGCTTCCTCTTTCGATGCGCAATGTAGCGAAATACTCTCTAATGTCTAGTTCGACCCACTATGCTTCAAAAGTTGGAACAGTCAGTAGCTAATGGATACAACTGGATACACTATACCCCCCCCCCCCCCCCCTTCTTTTTGCACCAGCAGTTATAAACTGGTAGTGTATGTGTATTTAACAACTGTTACATATGTTATGGGCTTTCAATTGAATCTGCACTACGGTTGAATATTTTCCCGGTATTTTACAAATATCACATCCCGAGAAGAATAAGTCACTTTTATCCCGGGTAACCTGGTATTTCCCGCCAAAACCGGAAGTGTCATTCAAAAGCGTTATAAAGCATATAATACTGTCTGTCTGGATTTTATTAGAGCTTTGATCAGCATGAAAATTCAAACCTGATGCTAGCTGAGCCTGATGAGCCATATATTAAATACATTATATGAGCCCTAAATTAACGACATTTAATGAGCCCAAGCCCAAATGATTGTGCTGTTATCCAATACATATATGATATAGGCTACTGCACATTACACATGAAAGAAAAACATAAAAAGCCCATAGATGTAGCTAGCTACAGTGCATTCGGAAAGTATTCCGACCCCTTGACCTTTTACACATTACGTTACAGCCTTATTCTAAAATGGATTAAATAATTGTTTTTCCTCATCAATTTACACACATTACCCCATCATGACAAAGCGACAACAGGTTTGTACATATTTTTACAAATGTATTAAAGATTTTAAAAAACAAAACTTATTTACATAAGTATTCGAAAGACTTGAAATTGAGCTCAGGTGCATCCTGTTTCCATTGGTCATCCTTGAGATGTTTCTACAACTTGATTGGAGTCCACCTGTGGTAAATTAAATTGATTGGACATGATTTGGAAAGGCACACACCTGTCTATGTTAGGCCCCACAGTTGACCGTGCATGTCAGAGCAAAAACCAAGCCATGAGGTCGAAGGAATTATCCATAGAGCTCCGAGACAGGATTGTGTCGAGGCACAGATCTGGGGAAGGGTACCAAAAACATTCTGCAACATTGAAGGTCCCCAAGAACACAGTGGCCTCCATTATTCTTAAATGGAAGTAGTTTGAAAGTAGACTCTTCCTAGAACTGGCCGCCTGGCCAAACTGAGCAATCAGGGGAGAAGGGCCTTGGTCAGGGCGTTGACCAAGAACCCGATGGTCACTCTGACAGACGTCCAGAGTTCCTCTGTGGAGATGGGAGAACCTTCCAGACGGACAACCATCTTTGCAGCACTCCACCAATCAGGCCTTTATGGTAGAGTGGCCAGACGGAAGCAACTCCTCAGTAAAAGGCACGACAGCCCTCTTGGAGTTTGCCAAAAGGCACCTAAAGAACTCTCAGACCATGAGAAACAAGATTCTCTAGTCTGATGAAACCAAGATTGAACTCTGGCCAGAATGCCAAGCGTCATGTCTGGAGGAAACCTGGCACCATCCCTACGGTGAAGCATGGTGGTTGCAGCACCATGCTGTGGGGATGTTTTTCAGAATAAGGCTGTAACATAATTTTTTTTGAAAAAAGTCAAGGTGTCTGAATACTTTATTTCTGATTGCACTCTAAATGCTCTCTTGAGTAAATAAATGAAACTAGCTCCAGTAGGCTAATCTTTTTGAGTGTGAACTGTATTACTGTACTGTATTATACTGTATTATATGGACTGGAATTACGCACATAGTTCATACCACCATTCTGTTGCAGCACATGCAGCCTGCAAAGTTAAATTTAATTTTGAAATATAATAGGGCCTATTTGTATAATTAGTAGGCTGACACATATATACCTTTCATAATATTTCCCCTAATGTTATTAGCCTACCTCCTCTTTCTCTTACTATTGTTGCTTTATTCCTTCCTCGCTTTCAACAGTTAAATGAAATAAGTTTAGTTGTCTTTATCTTCATCATTCTAATGACATCCTTGAATAATAGTACTAGAACTAGATGCAGAAGGCTTTCACTTCCCTTCATGAAGATTGAATGGTAATGGGTCTGAGTAAATAACTGCTATAGTCTACCACCATTGCGCGTTAACTCTTCTTTCAAACTACTTGTGAGTTCTATTGGCTGCTGTATTTAACATTCAGCAAAAAATAGCTTACATCCCTCTTTGAATAGTCTATTGGTATAAGAAATGCTCAAGAAAAGAATGTCCAGCAAGCTATTCTAGTCTAGCTTTTCCTGCATAGGACTCCAAGAGCCAAGGAGAGGCCAGTAGAGCACAGGTGCTTGCGTATTGCGCAAGAGACTGAGGCTATAAGTTAGAAGCTTAGTAAGCATAACCCATCATTAATTAGCTAAATATAAGGCTAATACTGCATTGCATTTATTACCTGAAAGAGGTAGGCTAGGACATCTTTATACCAATCTGAGAGAGAGAGAGAGAGAGAGAGAGATGATTTAAAGTAACGATATTTGAGTGTTAGGTTGTGTTAACTATGCAGCTGCAATAAAAAAATAAAACATCTTTACAATTTAAAAAACAAGGTGACAGGCCTCCCGAGTGGCACGGCGGTCTAAGGCACTGCATCGCAGTGCTAGAGGCGTCACTACAGACCCGGGTTCGATCCCAGGCTGTGTCACAACCGCCCGTGATTGGGAGTCCCATAGGGCGGTGCACAATTGGCCCAGCGTCGTCCGGGTTAGTGAGGGTTTGGCTGGAGGGGGTTTACTTGGCTCATCGCTCTCTAGCTACTCCTTGTGGTGGGCCGGGCGCCTGCAGGCTGAATTCGATCGTCAGTTGAACTGTGTTTCCTCCAACACATTGGTGCGGCTGGCTTCCGGGTTAAGCGGGCGGGTGTTAAGAAGTGCGGTTTGGCGGGTCATATTTCGGAGGACGCATGACTCGACCTTCGCCTCCTGAGCCCGTTGGGGAGTTGCAGCGATGAGAAAAGATCGAAATTGGGGTAAAATACAAAAAAAACACACAAAAAAACAAGCGAGATGGGTAAGTTAGACGCACATTCGCTCTTTATATTACTGTAGCATAGGCTATGCTGCAGCAAATGTAGACCTACCTGTCACAAGAAGAAAAGTTACCATGTTGATGATAGGTCTACATGTATTGTGAACTGCGCTTCATACTGAGACGGGCTGTCTGTACCCACCTTGAGCGTTGATTCATCATACAGAGGCCGTAGAGAAGCCAGATTTAGACATCGCATATCATTTAACAGTTCCAGTTCATGCCATGCTGTTCATATAAATAATTTACCCGTTTCTCGCAGTTATTTATCCCGGGAAAAGGGAGTGGTGGTTTTGGGCGGTAAGTCTCTGTAATCGGGTTCCTGCCATTCAACCCTAATCTACACCCTGCAATGTTTGTGCTTGACTCGAATGTAATATTAAATTCAATATTGTTGAGCTTGTGAGTGATATTATTGACAATTGTATATTTTTATTTACTTATTTAACCTGTATTTAACCAGATCAGTCAAGTCAGTTTACTTTCGGTTTTGATTATAGCCTAGTCCTCAAGATCAGTGTTATTCCAGCAAAACAGTTTGATCGGATGTCCCAGCCTATAGAGTTCCTCTATGACGTGAATAAAGTATTGTTTTCATAATTGTCAAATTAATAAGTAATAAAAACATATTTAGTTATTAGAACAACATGCACCTTGATTGTGTGTTGGTAATGAAAGCAAGGCAATGTGATCAGGATGACATAATGTAGGCTATTACAAATACTAATATATGAAAGGTTGTGTCATGTTCATAAGAAGCTCATTTGCCTCGTAACGTATGCCTTAATTGCATATGACACCTTACACTCAAATGTTTTCCTCAGTCCTCAGAACAACATTGGATACCCTGTATTGTGTGAGCCATGGCCAAGTCAGTGATGATCCCTCTGGAGGAGGAGATTGTGAGCATCCTGGGCCAATGTGGATCAGCTCTGACTTACGCCCTGCAAAGCAAGTTTGGATGTACTGCCGTGCTCCATGGTGTGGATGCCGCCAGTGCAGGTGCAGGACAGTCCAAAAAGCCATTGCCTGAGGTGAGGTTTTCTACCCAGCTGTCCAAGGGCCTCAGGGTGTCTGTATGGAGGGACGACCTTACCACTCACCGTGGCGTAGATGCTGTGGTCAACGCGGCCAATGTGCACCTCAGTCATGGGGGAGGTCTCGCCAAGGCGCTTAGCGATGCCGGTGGCCCAGATATCCAGCGAGAGAGTGACCGGTACATAAAGGACAATGGAAAGTTGTTAACGGGAGATGCCATCATCGCCGCACCTGGATTCCTTCCATACAAGAAGATCATTCATGCTGTCGGTCCAAGGCTGTCGTTCAACCCCACAAAATCCGCTGTTGATGATGGCACAAAACAACTCCAAAAGGTTGTTGAAAACATTCTGCAGGTGATGAAGAAACAGAATCTGAAGTCTGTCGCCATTCCAGCCATAAGTTCTGGTCTGTTCAACTTTCCCCTGCCACTCTGTGCAGACGTCATTGTTAAAACCCTGAAACAGTACCATGATCACCATTACTCCGGGGCTCCTTTAGAGGTACGCCTGGTCAATCACGATGACCTATCGGTCAGGGAGATGGAAAGAGCATGCTGTCAAATACTGGGGTCATCAGGTTCACACAGTCAACCAGCGGGGGCTCAGGGGCAGCCACCTAAGGCATCATACAGTAAAGTTGTGAGTCAAGGCTCAACTTCAACTTCGATGAAAATCAACAATGTCACTCTGATCCTCAAAAAAGGATACATTGAGAGACAGGAGGTAAAAATAAAAGGATAAGAATTATAAATAATCAGAATTGAATGGTAGACATGATTGATGGAGGAATGTATATGCATATTTGGCTCTGTTTCAGCATTTGGAACATATTTCCAAATATATGAAAAGCGTAACTGTGATGAACTGATATTCTATCTTGCTCGTCTTTTATTGACAGACGGACGCCATTGTGAACACAATTTCTTCCGACCTTGATTTGTCATCCGGGGAAATATCCAGAGCAATTCTGGAAAAGGCTGGAAAAGGCATACAGGAGGAGATATTGAAATGCTTCAGCAACAATGGTGAAGTTATTGAGACCACTGGACACAATTTGTTATGCACTTCTGTGTATCACACGATATGTCCTTACAAACATAAACACACAAGTCAAGCATCTCAAAAGGTAAATACAAATAAGGCTTTAAGGTATTCAACTACACTAAAATGTACTGTTATGAGATCAAACATAAAATTGTTATCCTGCCTTATTGCTCCTAGTAATATGTTATGGGTAGTATATCAAAGATCTAACTATATTTTACTATGTCTCTAGTCATAAGTATAACATATAGAATAAGAAACTTGACAAGTAATTTCTAAGCTTTCTGTATTCTTCTCATGACAGAATCTTAGTGACATCATCTCAAAGTGTCTGGGCATGGCACAAAACAAACAGCTGTCGTCAATCTCCTTCCCAGCCATTGGTACTGGTATGCTGGGCTTCAACAAGCAAGAGGTTGCCCAGATTATGATGGACACAGCAGGGAAATTTGCCCAGCAAAACAATGGAATGAACATGGATATCTATTATGTTATATATCCAGCGGACACTGAGACATATAGGGTATGTGTACGATCAAAGTATTATCAGTCACTTTCATACCAATCCTTAGTGGCCAAGTAATTGTCCCACAGGTCTTTGACGATTTCACTCTTTTGAAATTAACTTACTTAGCCGTTTTTATACTGAAGAGTTGCGAATATGATGTATTTCTAAACCAAAAGACTTGAGTTCTTTGCTGTCGTCTTATGACACCAGAACTGATATAGCCTAGTTACCAGTGCTCACATATTTCTGCTCTTTTACACAGGCCTTTGAAGATGAACTGAAATCTCTTCAAGGCGCAACACAATATTCTCACTCCTTCAACAGTGCCTCCGATCAAGGTGAGATCCCAGTCAAATGAAGTAGAAGTGGTATGTTATCATTTGTGTGTTAACAGAACTCTTGATACAACACATATATGACACCAGCTTGTACAGTTTTTGCACTATGCATGCAGTATTTTGGATTAAATAATTATTTTGTGTCTTGTCTGCAAGAATTTGAGAACACAACTGGCCATTTTGACTCCAGAGATGCAAGGAAAAGTGCACAACCATATATCATGCTCAGCAGTGCCTTTGATGCGGCGTTGAGAGAGGCCAAAAACTGGTATTTTGATATTTTCTCCCCTTACTTCAAGAATGTCTTCACCATTCGTAACAACTTCATCCAACACTTTGGTCAGCATGAGTTTGAAAAGCTGCTGATCTTTCAGACCAAGTGGGAAGCTTCCATTGAGGTGTTCTTTAAAGATGGTTGTGCCGGCGTGAACATCCAGGGGGATTCTAGAGATGTCAGAGCTGCTGTATTAGAGGTGGAAGCCATGTGCTGCAAAGTCCAAGAGGATTTTGCAAAAGAAGAGGAGAGTGACATGGGCCTGAAAACTTCCACCAGTTCCTCAAGGAAGCCTGTAGGCGAGAACAGTTCTGACTATAGAGAAAGACAGCAGAATTTTTCCGGATTTGAAATTGTCAGGGTGAGTGTCCACACAAGAAACAACTAATTTAACAATAAAGGTGCAATCTGTGATATTAGCTGCCTGATAACCAATAAAATATGGTTATGGCAAATGTGTTACAGGTTGAGAAAGTGGAGAACAGCGCCCTGAAGCAGGTCTTCGAGCTTAAAAAGAAGCAGTTGGAAGTGTCTACCTCTCAGCGAATGTACCAGCGCCTGCCAGCGCAATACTGTGATCTGCTCAACAGAGTGGGCTTCCAGAGGGAGTTTGCACCACCTGACGGTAAGAGAGAAGCCACCTATTCATGGGTTGCACATTGCGTCACAATATTGCACTGCGCCCAACTGCATATTCTGCTTAATGCATTCTCAATTTGAGCTGATGAAGATTGTCTAAAGCGCAACCTTTTGTCATCATTGTGATGTCGGCAGATTGACTTTAGATGCAGTATAACTTTAGCTAGCTAAGATTGAGGGAACTGCACTGAATTTTAGCTAGCTAACCTTAGCATTGCTAGCAACTTTTGACTAACTTTGCCCACTAAAGGCAACATTGCCATCTGTCTAAAGTAAATTTGACGACATCATAATGATGGCAAAGTTGTTTCCTACTATTAATTTGCCGACTTTAGCAATGTCATCGTATTACCTGCCCACTATAGTGTAATTTAGACTAAACAGTCACTAGCCCCCATTCAGAATGACTGGGCACGACCCGACTTTTGGGCACAACTATGGCTGAGGCATCTGTAGAACTTTGATAAAAATGGCATGACACGACCGAGTGACGGAGGTGCAACCAATGAATAAAAACAAATGACATTCTTTAGAATTACAATCTATTCATTCTAATGAAATTCTATGTTTTCTATTTTTATGGAGCCAGCACTGTGTTTGGAGAATAGCTCGGAAATAGTTGTTGTCAAGTAATTAATTTAATGTATTACTTTTAAAGCTGCAATATGAATCTTTTTGGGCGACCCGACCAAATTCGCATAGAAATGTGTATTATAGATTTGAAAGCAAGTCTAAGAAGTGGTAGATCTGTTCTATGTGCGCTATTTCTCTGCTTCCCATTCTTAAGTTTAGTTTTTGTGTCTTACTTTCAGCTTTGTATACCAGCTTTGAACAGCTGAAAATAAAAGCTTTTTGGTTGTGGAAAATATATTTCACAGCGGTTTAGATGGTACAATGATTCTCCACACTATTCTGCTTGTTTTGTCACAAACTGAAATTAGGCTAACTATTGAGATTTTTGCAACCAGGAAATGGGGGAGCGATATCTGCATAGTGCATCTTTACTTTCAGTATTGATGTGTTACTTTCATCCATAGAGCAAAAGTATGGAGAGGGGATCTACTTCAGTGGCAGCGTGGATGGGGCAAAGAGGCAGTGGAAAGGCTTGGCTGACGAGGAGTACCTGTACTTCGTTGAGGCGCAGGTGCTGACAGGGAAGTCCACACTTGGCTCACCAGGTCTTATTGTGCCACCGGAGACCCACAGCAGAGACCCCATTACTCTGTATGACAGCGTGAATGGGGGTGTAGACACCTGTGTCATCTTCAATGGTCACCAGGCCCTACCTGAATATCTGATCATCTGCAAAAAAACAAGCCATAAGTTCTAATAAGGATGAAGTTGATAATGGGGGAAAATATGTGCTATTAAGTAATTTTGTTTTAAAATAACCATATTGAACTTTACTTTGTGCTCTACTCAAGACTATATGCAGGACAACTGAATTTGATATAGGTTACCAATGAATTCAGATCAAATGTATTATCCCACCAGGGGGATATTCATTTGGTCATGTGCTTAAAAAGACGGTACATTGAAACACAGAAACGACACAATAGAATTCATTAAAAGTGCTATAGCTACACATTTAAAGTGAAAGTGTAATATGCTATATACTCGAGGGACCAACAGACTATTATACTATTATACAGCCTAATGGCTGTTGGAATAAAAGAGTCCCCATATCTATGTGTTTTGATTTTCTTTTGAAGAAGTCTCTTTCCCCTTGTCCGGCTGGTGCTGTGAATGAGTGTTGAGTGAAGGGAATGAGTACTATCCTGTAAAATGCTTTCAAGTTTTAGGAGGATGAGTTTTGTTTATAGGTTGGTGGCTGATTCTTGATCTATACCAATTATCCTTCCCGCCGTCTTAATCACGCGCTAAAGCTGGACTTGGTCTTGCACTCGCATGTTTCCAAACACGCATATCAGACCAAAGAACAGCACTCTGCAGAACAGATTTATAGAGAAGCTTGGTCTGGGTGGAGGAAAATGAAATTCTGACATGTTTGCATCACATTTTATATAGTTTTTTATTTTTTTCATGGTTTAGTTTCATTTTCTGCTTCAGTATCAAAGCACTATGGTTTCAGTTTATAACCAACAAAATGAATGCAGTTTGAATAAATGTTATCATTTCATATTGATAATACTGACAATCCTTTGTTTGTTTTTATAATGAAGTATGAAAATGTATGCACTCACTAACTGTAAGTCGCTCTGGATAAGAGCATCTGCTAAATGACTAAAATGTAAAAATGTAAATTATTAACAAAAAAAAAGAAAAATTTAATGAGTGCGTATTGTGATAGAATCATACTTTATGTAAACATGCTTTGGTAGAGAGATTCGCTTTTATTACACTGGATGATACTGCTACATAAAAAAAACAACTACACTAGCCTTCAATGAACAAGGCAATAAACTATTTTATTAGATGTATGTAAAAAGGTTATGGTTCACAACATTCTGTCAATTAGTGACTTGGAAGGACTACAGAATAGTAGTTTGCCAAATTGCGCTAAACAATTAAATATACTGTAACTGCATACATTCTGATACTGTACTTCCACCTAGTACATCAATAATTAAAATATGATTTGAGTTTTAACCAGACTCTTTGCTTTCACTTGTCATGGAATGTACACTGAACAAAAATATAAACGCAATATGCAACAATTTCAAAGATATTACTGAGTTACAGATCATATAAGGAAATCAGTCAATTGAATTAAATTCATTAGGCCCTAATCTATGGATTTCACATGACTGGGAATACAGATATGCATCTGTTGGTCACAGATACCTTAAAAAAAAGGGTGGATCAGAAAACCAGTCAGTATCTGGTGTGACCACCATTTGCCTCATGCAGCGCGTAGAGTTGATCAGGCTGTTGATTGTGGCCTGTGGAATGTTGTCCCACTCCTCTGAAATGGCTGTGCGAAGTTGCTGGATATTGTCGGGAACTGGAACACGCTGACCTACATGTCGATCCAGAGCATCCCAAACTTTCTCAATGGGTGACGTCTGCTGAGTATGCAGGCCATGGAAGAACTGGGACATTTTCAGATTCCAGGAATTGTGTACAGATCCTCGTGACATGGGGCCGTGCATTATCATGCTGAAACATGAGGTGATGGCAGCGGATGATGGCACGACAATGGGCCTCAGGATGTCGTCACGGTATCTTTGGGCATTCAAATTGCCATTGATAAAATGCAATTGTGTTCGTTGTCCGTAGCTTATGCCTGCCCACAACCCACCGCCACCATGGGGCACTCTGTTCACAATGTTGACATCAGCAAACCGCTCGCCAACATGACGCTATAGACGCTGTCTGCCATCTGCACGGTACAGTTGAAACTGGGATTAGTCCGTGAAGAGCACACTTCTTCAGTGTGCCAGTGGCCATCGAAGGTGAGCATTTGATCTCGCAGGTGAAGAAGCTGGATGTGGAGGTCCTGGGCTGGCGTGGTTACACGTGGACTGCGGTTGTGTGGCCGGTTGGACGCACTGCCAAATTCTCTAAAACGACATTGGAGGCGGCTTATGGTAGCGAAATGAACATTCAGTTCTCTGGCAACAGCTCTGGTGGACAGTCCTGCAGTCAGCATGCCAATTGCACGCTCCCTCAAAACTTGAGACATCTGTGGCATTGTGTTTTGTGACAAAACTGCACTTAGAGTGGCCTTTTAATGATCATGCTGTTTAATCAGCTTCTTGATATGCCACACATGTCCGGTGGATGGATTATCTTGGCAAAGGAGAAATGCTCACTAACAGGGATGTAAAAAATATTGTGCACAAAATTTTAGAGAAATAAGCTTTTTGTGCATATGGAACATTTCTGGGATCTTTTATTTCAGCTCATGAAACATAGGACCAACACTTTACATGTTGCGTTTATATTTTTGTTCAGTATAGAATAACTGGTTAGCCATTCCAAGAACTCTATTCTAGGTAATGACATGTTCCTCCACCCAACAGCTAGCAACAGCAAATGGTGATACAGGTTGGCAAAGCCAAACACTTCCTGTTCAAATGAAGTTGATGCTTCCATGAAAAAGAGGTTTTGACATTCAAATCCACTTAATGTATACACTTAATATGATCAGATCTACAATTGAAGTCGGAAGTTTACATACACCTTAGCCAAATACATTTAAACTCAGTTTTTCACAATTCCTGACATTTAATCCTAGTAAACATTCCCTGTCTTAGGTCAGTTAGGATCACCACTTTATTTTAAGAATGTGAAATGTCAGAATAATATTAGAGTGATTTATTTCAGCTTTTATTTCTTTCATCACATTCCCAGTGGGTCAGAAGTTTACATACACTCAATTAGTATTTGGTAGCATTGCCTTTAAATTGTTTAACTTGGGTCAAACATTTCAGGTAGCCTTCCACAAGCTTCCCACAATAAGTTGGGTGAATTTTGGCCCATTCCTCCTGACAGAGCTGGTGTAACCGAGTCAGGTTTGTAGGCCTCCTTGCTCGCACACGCTTTTTCAGTTCTTCCCACAAATGTTCTATAGGATTGAGGTCAGGGCTTTGTGATGGCCACTCCAATACCTTGACTTTGTTGTCCTTAAGCCATTTTGCCACAACTTTGGAAGTATGCTTGGGGTCATTGTCCATTTGGAAGACCCATTTGCGACCAAGCTTTAACTTCCTGACTGATGTCTTGAGATGTTGCTTCAATATATCCACATAATTTTCCTTCCTCATGATGCCATCTATTTTGTGAAGCGCACCAGTCCATCTTGCAGCAAAGCACCCCCACAGCATGATGCTGCCACCCCCGTGCTTCACGGTTGGGATGGTGTTCTTCGGCTTGCAAGCAACCCTCTTTTTCTCCAAACATAACGATGGTCATTATGGCCAAACAGTTCTATTTTTTTTTCATCAGACCACAGGACATTTCTCCAAAAAGTACGATCTTTGTCCCCATGTGCAGTTGCAAACCGCAGTCTGGGTTTTTTATGGCGGTTTTGGAGTAGTGGCTTCTTCCTTGCTGAGCAGCCTTTCAGGTTATGTCGATATAGGACTCGTTTTACTCTGGATATAGATACTTTTGTACCTGTTTCCTTTAGCATCTTCACAAGGTCCTTTGCTGTTGTTCTGGGATTGATTTCCACTTTTCGCACCAAAGTACGTTCATCTCTAGGAGACTCCTTCCTGAGCGGTATGACGGCTGCGTGGTCCCATGGTGTTTATACTTGCGTACTATTGTTTGTACAGATGAACGCGGTACCTTCAGGCATTTGGAAATTGCTTTAAGGATGAACCAGACTTGTGGAGGTCTACAATTAAAAGCGCTGTATCGCATTAGTGGAAACCAAGACTGTTCTCAGGGCAGGTCTGCCGGTTTTGACTCATGGGAAGTTAAGAGAATTAGGTTAAGGTTAGGGAAATGGTTAGCTAAAATGCTAAAATTGTCCCCCGTTGCGACTCGAACATATCTAGCTACAACCAGTCCTGCCCTGAGAACAGTCTTGGTTTCCACTAATGCGATGCTGCAGTAAAAGCATGATGTGTAGGCCTACCCTTCAATCTGTGCTGTGATTTGAGTCAACTCAACTGACATTACAAAAAATACATTCCATTGCATGAGCCACATCAGTTAGCATTCTTCATTACCATGACAATCCAGCATCAGTTGATAGAACATTCCAAAATACCATGGAATGGATTGCAGGCAGCCATTGCAAGTATACATACCCATGAGTTTACCAGTCAAATTGCCAGGGTAAGAGCTTCCAACAAAATTCTATTTCTATGGTGTTACTTATGTCCATGCGTCAATTTGGAACGGGAAGATTTTTGCAGAGTGGTGAAATGGCGAGAGAAGGTGTTTTTGTGTCAACGATTACCAACACTGTTTTTGATAGCTTTGAATGTATTTGACATTGATGATACCGTTTGACATAGTGCTAATTGACAATGTCACTTCAACTCTCCTAGGACCTCATTCTGAGTGAGCGAACAAGCTCGTGCACCTGAAAGGTATCTTTCTCTCAGCCTGTTACACGCAGTGGTGTGTATTCATGGATGCGAAGGGAAGCCAGACTTCCCCTAAAAATGGACAAAGAAAAATTATTTTATGTTTATTTTTTAAAAATCTTTAGTCTCTCTGTGTTTCATAATTGTCCTTCAATTCGCAAGAGGCTAAATGTATCACAGGAGAAAGCATCCGAGCGAGCGAAACAGTCCCCATCTGCCGCTCTACGTGTAGACCATCTATCTGATGCTGTCTGGTCCAAACCAGTATGACATTGTTGCCGCCCGTAGCATTGAAGGCAGCAAACATTTGGCCTCCCTTGATAAA